GGATGTAACATGCGAACGCATATGGACGTGTTCGTATGCGTTTGCCTCTTCATTTATAGCATGCTGATTTCTCGTCCTGTCTAAGTGACGACCACTTTAATACCAGCAAGTGATAGACAGACATGGTAGGGCTGCAAAGCACAAAAACCCCCGAAATTAGATCCCGCCAAACTAATACACGGAGTAATGCTATTTGTGCTTAAACCAGAAAGCCGGCTCACCTTGTGAGGGCCATCGCCTTGGAAATCGCGGCGATCACGATGTAATATTCGGCTTTCGTGGACACAAAACGTATCCTCCGTAAATACTCAGACGTGAATGGCGCTGGCACGTCCTCATAACAACTTCGCGCACGTATCCTTCTTGTAGCAACGGGCGTTTCATTTCCTGTCGCGCGGCGTATTATGCGACCGACTCCATGTCTCGTCCAGCGGCGCTCCGTTGCGATGCAAGATGCGTACTGTTACGGTTAGGGCAGTCGCGAGATGTGGTCGACCAGCTAAAGTAGCAACGGCGCGCGTCAGCCTGCTCAGCGACGGCAGCTGCTATCTCTTATGAGGATGACGCAACTTCAAGACGAAAAGGGGCGTTGCTATAGTGACCGGTAAGTCTGTTAACTGGTTGGAACCGCATGGCACGATCTCGTGAAGCGAAAAACACGACGAGCAGCGAGTGCCGGCGTTGCAGCCGACCACGCATGGTTGCTGTAGCAACGGCACATGGAACCACGTCTTCACGTTGCGTCGCACCGCCGATAGCCGCTGCCTTCCTTAGACCAAATATATAAAAGGTTAGGAGGGGACACTCCATAGACCATGCATAGGCCCCTGCGGATGATTTGGGTTCGCAGCGCAACAAACGGGCGTGGGGCAACTGTGCAGCCTCAGAGATGTGGGAGCGCGAGAAACGGTGATCCTGAAGGCTGTTTTCAGGCGATTCGAAAAACAGCCTCCGAGACACTACTGTTCGCGTGATCGTCTCTGATGCCATATAAACTTTCATTTTATGAACGCGTTCTTGCGTGCATCGATTAGCTTCGTGTAAGGTGCACCGTCAAAGCGGCAAACACACGATGTCACTGTGTGTCTACGCACACATTTTGAATAAAACATGAGTATCGTAGGAAGAGCGACAACTTTTATTTTCAAATCATATTCTTGGTAAGCGCATGCCCATTTTATTCTAAAATGTTTGACAAACGCGGGCACGAAGAGATAGGTTTATTGCACTGCACGATGCAGCAATACAGCTGCCATATCATCAGTACAGATTGCACAGGAAAAAAATAAACATATAGGCGATATTACAAAAGACCCGCAGAACAGTAAAACTGCAGTCCGCAGTAAATGCAAACAACTACACATATATTGTACAACGCAACACGGCAGTAGTTGCCGTATAGCCAGCGTAGCTCTCGACTCAGGACAGCATGAACTGAAGAAAAGAAAAAAAAAAAGATGTTGGCTACGTTTTATCTTTCGCACTCATCGCTCAGTCGCGAAAAACAGTTGCAAAAGAAGTTACCGCCGCCAAAACAAAGACCCCGCCATGGTGGTCTAGTGGCTAAGGTACTCGGCTGCTGACCCGCAGGTTGCGGGATCGAATCCCAACAACGGCATCTCTCATAATCATATGGTGGTCACACATGCACTGAATTCTAATGCATGGGCTAGCACAAATAAAGCCTAAGAACTCGAGCGATGACTCACTTTCTTGGGCAAAAAAAAATTTCTCGCCAGCATCCTGGGCAGCATTGCAAACAGCTGTGTGTGTGTGTGTGTGTGTGTGTGTGTGTGTGTGGTGTGTGTGTGTGTGTGTGTGTGTGTGTGTGTGGTGTGTGTGTGTGTGTGTGTGTGTGTGTGTGTGTGTGTGTGTGACAGCAGAGCTCTCCAAGTGACGCGCGATGATCATCATCGTGAACTGACACGTGCTCTCTTTATCCTCCTCTTCATCTTCGTCTTTCTCTGTTTCGCTTTCAGAAGACGTTCGCCTATTTTTCAGGCATGAAATGCGAGGCAGGATTCTAGCACGCTTACCCACGATCCAGAGGCGACCATCGTCCTCACCCGCAGCACACTCGCTGCAGCTCCCGCAGCTGCCGGCTCCTCCGCCCACTCGCAACACACTTTTGACTCGCTTCACCCTCTCCACACCCCGTAACGCTCGACGACCACGTTGAGTGGAAACACTCTTTCGGCTCATTTATCTGCGATGAAACTTAGACAAACCCAACCCACCTCCCGTGTCTTTGCGTTTCAAATAAAGGTTTACTCGAGGAAAGGCTGCACCGAGTTTCTATTCAAACCGTTTTTCCAGCACCCGCATCAACGCCCGTTTCAGCCGGGTCAACGGCGTGCGCACCGCTGGCTGCTTCGCATCCCATCATGGTTTCCTTCGGGAATATGGTCCATAATTTTCATGTCCCTCCCACGGTCACCCATCCACCATCTTCTGCACTGATGTGTTGCGTGCGAGCACCTGTTGAATGTTGTGAAATATTTATCGAAGGAACGGCGTTTCTTCAGCAGTTCCTTCTTTTAAAAAATGCGTTACCGTTGCAAGTTCCGCTGATCCGAATTTAACTGGGGTGTTTCTCCGAAAAAGGACAAGTTCCTGGAACGTCATTTCTTGAAGCACCGTTCCGTACAACACCGCGAAATGGTTCGGTTGGCCCCTGCACTTACTCGTTACAACGAGCAACAAACGGGCGGGCGGGTTCGCCCTTCTCTACAACACCAAGTCACGCACCCTCCCGCTTTCTGCAGTCCGAAGGCTCAAAAAAGGAAAGGGTAGCCACCAGTTTAAGAACTGGCTAACCACCCTGCGCTTCTGCTTATTTCTTTCTTCCTCCTCAGAAAAGCAGCATTGAGAAGTGTTTCCCGTGGCTTTAACTACATGCCAACTGCCCTTTCTTGATACACTCCAGGTGCCCACACCGAACCGAAAAGTACACTCCGCCAATGCAGCATGTAATATTTGCACAATTTCCCCGTGTCCCTCGCATAATTTTTGCTGAATCTCCCCTTTCACCCCGTGGCGAATGATTCATTATTGGTGTCCGCATTTTCGAAAGCAGTAGTGCCGTGCAACTATGTACTACGGTTGTAGATTGCTGTGGCAAGCACGCACTCCTTTCGCAGGTAGCAGCAGAGAAAATCAGCCAGTGCGGGTCGACAAGGGTACGTTTTATGCGAGTACAGGGCCCAGTTTCACTCACAGAGACGAATCGTGGCGAGTTTCCAAAGCGCTCACGCACGGACACACACACGCACGAACACGCGAATGTCGCTGAGATTGTCCTTCTTTTTTCCTGTATTTATGGCGCCGACATGAGCTCCCACATTCTTCCTCGTCGACTTCCAGCCTGCACCATCTACGAATCTGTGGTGACCTCACAGTTGCACGGCAGCAGCCGAGACACCCTCACCCAAATTACACTATATATTAGAAGTACGCTCCATCCCCCACCCCCCCACCCCCCCACACACACATGCCTCTCACTCCCCACTAATACTTCCCCTACCATTTTTTTTCTTCTGCCCCAAGTGTCGCGGTTGCGGTGTCCTAGCCTGAGAGACAGTTACTGCGGCACTCTTCACCGTCCTTCAATTTCAAGAATCTCTTCTCTAACCACGTCACGCGGGGGAGGGGGAAATGGCGGGAGACGCTTTAGCGTGCTGTGTCCAAGCCATCCAGGCTGTACGATGACGAAAAGGGAGTTGTTTTTTCTTTACGAATGCACTGCTCACTTCTCTCAGCCTGTCTTCCAAGCCACACGTGCGCCCCTCACAAGTGTATCCGTTTACGTCTAGTGACGTTGCCGCTCTGCTTGTCAGCTGTTTCAAGGAAGGGTCCATCCAGGCAGTCTAACTCTCTCTTGTCTTTTCATTATGTATTATAATCATTTGTTGATGTTTCAGTGATGAGATCCCGTGGGCTTACTTTCCTGTTGTGAAAGGAAAACAGATGTGCGCGAGATCAATGCAACCAAAGACGCGAAAAGCCAAAACGGATAAACGTACTAAGAATGAACTGCCGCTCGGGTTAATGCTGTTTCTTTGGCAAAAGCTGTAAATCATTTAGAGCCCCATGTATACTACATACTTTGCTGGGGGAAAGCGGCTGGCTTTTGCACCTAGCACATGCTCTTTTTCGTTGAGTACGACAACCGTGTTACTGCGAAGGTCTGCAAGGTCTTGCAAGGGACCGTTTCTGCAATACGCACTTCATACCTGTTTGCCGCTCGTTCTTGCCTACAATGATGACCTGGAAGCACAAACCTAGATTAAGAGGAGGAAACGAGCAACAATACGCAACGCAGAGCATGAACCAGTACTGCCTCTTTAAAAGTAAACCTCATACGCCCATGTCAGCCCACGAGTCTCGCGTACGGCGGAAATGAAGCGGCGCCTGTCAAATTGTTTCTCATAGCCGCCACGCGACGTCGCCTCAGTGCATCGACAAAGGCAATAAAAATCGCATAAAGGACGCAACCTGGTACCGTTGTTGACATCACTCGTCGCGGGTCATCAAAGCAAACCGGCGTTGCACACCATTCGGACCGTGCACCTTATGAGAGCCACCCGGTGCATATATGCATAGACTAAGTCACGAATTGAGTTTAGTATAGCACCAATGAACCAGCTACGTTTTTCAAAGTGCGCGGTGCTTCTCGCTGGACGGAGGAGTACCGCGACGATAACGAGTAGGACGGTGAAGGCGACAACTAAGTTGAAACGAATAGTGCTAGACGAGAATAATGACAGCAGAGCGATTCATGTAACGGGACAGTCGGTCATGCTGCAATTGAAGACACCTGCTGTGAATCTGTGCGAAAAGCGGCTGGTGCATACGGGAGAGCACAAGGGCGAGCGAAGACATCATCTGTTCCCAAGAACAACCTTCCTTTCCTGTGCTCAAGGACCTCTGCAACCTGGTAAGTGTGACCTCAAGATGGGAAAGATGATGCGCCTACAAATATTATGCTGGATTTCGTGATCGATGCACGTACCTCGTACCCTTAATAACGTCGCAGAGCACTCCCGCAAATCGGTAGGTGCGACTTGCAGATAAAACAATGTGATGCACGCACGTACCCGATGTGGTTTAGCTATACTTTCTGTGCTCTTAGCCGACACAAGATAGATGACATGACACAGCACTATAAACTCTGCAGATGACCATCCAGTTTTCTACCTTGTGTTGTCTTCCGGCGCTAAAGGTTACTATAGGTAAGCACCAATTAGCCCACCGATTCATCTTGTTAAACCTCGTACACAGGCGACAACCTCCCTTTCCTGTTCTAAAGTACTTCGGCAAACCAGTAGGCGCGACTTGGAGATAAGATATATGTGATGTGTGCAACGACTACCACGCCAGATTCGGTCAACCATACTTGGTTATTTTTACCGTGTATGGTACGTACGCAGCAATTATGTAACGCCCACTTCGAAATTGCGCCTGTGGTTCAGTATGCTGGTTCTTTCGCAGCCGGATGGCCATGCTTCCAAAACCTGTGAGAGCGCGGTAAATTACAGCACGGATATCGTTCGCATGACAGCTGAAAATGACAGCAAGCGTCCAAGAGCGTCGTGCACGCAGTGCCCTTCTCGTGCTTCGCTTTCCTGTTTGTACCTTGCGGTGCACGGCGCTGTTGTGCGATCATTTAACATACATGAGGACGGGGATGGGGCATGTGCTAAGCCACGCCACACTGCAGGATAAGGACATAACGAAGGAGCGACAGAACGATGCATTCACGCAAGAGTGAATTCTCAAATCGGAAAAAGTATCATACATCACTTTTGACCTAGCCATGTGCGTCGCCGACAGCTCCATACGCATAACTTTTAATTGAAGATATCGAACGCAATAAACGTGACAAATGCTCTCGCATACAGTCAAAATCTGCTATTGTTCATTTCACCTGATCGTCCCCGCGTGAGCCAAGCCAAGTGACGGTGAGTTTACGCGCGTCCATCGCGGACCGAATGAAGTTGTTGCACTCCCTGACTACGAATGCAGTGTATGCGCCGACAATATTGCGCAATGTTTACTGCTACACATCACATACAGCTCGCCTATCGCCGGATACAAATTAAGAAGAGCAGAGAAGCCCCGCCCAGGTGACCGAAGAGCGTTAGTAGATTATCTCCGCGACGAAAGACATAGTCCTCTTTATGCTCTTGGAAATGTTCTCCGAAGGCGGAGTCACCAGTAGTCAGGCCCCTGGCCTCACTCTTGAGTGCGCGCTCATTGGCGCAGGCCTGTGTGAATCCACCTCTGAGGAGGAAATGCTGCGGACTTCTAAAATTGTATTCGATCGTAAGTAATTATTTTGGTAGCTGGAAGCCTTTGAAACCTAAAGCTCGGTGTCTTTGTGTAAAAGAGGGGAGAACGTTCGGCTGTGTCAGACGAGACCCATTGATGGGACGAAACATCGTTCACCTTGTTGATGAGCTCTCTCAAATACCCGTAAAGACATGTGGTCCCGCTGTAACCTTTACCACAAGATGTCATGTTTGAGGAAGGTAGAGGGAGATTAAATTTATTATAATTAATTCAAAGGCATCTCAGAAGTTCTTTACTTGTGAAGTACCTAAATTACGGCACGGACTGCTTCATCTGTCCGATAGTACAGCACTATTCAGCCCAGAAGATCAGTAGGCATTGTATTACCGCTTCTTAGCATATCCCTTCGAAGAGCAACGTTTTTTTTTTCTTGTTGGAATAGTCAATTTACTAAAGGTACACAACCAATTTACTTGAACCTGGATACACAACCTTTACTCTAGCTTTCTTTGTCTTTTGTCAAAATATATGGGCGCGAAAAAATAGCTTTTTTTAATCCAACTAAACCTACATTACTATCCCTGGAATCTTCCTTGCTGGGCACTTACTATCGTGATTAATATGAGCTCGAATACGCCAGTGCGTAGCAAATAGTCTAAGAATCCAGATAACGTGATACGTGGATGGCACTGCTGAAAAAGGGGGGGGGGGGGGCAAGGACGGTGTTCTTAGATTATCGGCCATCCCACATGATCGCTGCTGTAGAACGGCAGCTGTCAGCGTGCCAACGCTAGCAGTGTTAACACGAAAAGAAAATGCACCAAAAACAAACACATGAAAGACACGTATCAAAATGCTCCATAAACCAAACCTATAGATGTATTAAAGACATGGCCTGTGCATCACGGCAGGCTACGTCCCAGCCGATATCTATGAAACTGCACGGCTTCATGGATTATTGGTTGTGGCAGTGCGCGTTGATGTGAGCTCATATAACAGCTAGCAGCCACTGACGCGCTATAGCCTGCATTTTGCAGCAACGATATCGAGGCGGGAGCGTGAACAGTTAGCCGAAGCGCGGCGCCCTTTCCACTTTGTTTTCGACAGCGGCCGCTGCTGATCGGCCAATGTACAGTTCGAGGCTATTCGACACATGCTCGCGTGTTCGAGCTCATATTGCTCACGATAGTAGAGCCACGTTCAATCTGGCGTGTAACTCAGGAGCACGTCACCCCACGAGTTCAAAGATTGCACGTGGCTTCAACTTGCTTTCAGGCCCACAACTAAAAGCTGTTCTGTCCCTTTTGTAAGATCCCAAATAAGAACATATGTCGTAATTTAGTTGTGGAAATTAGGGAAAGTTGAAGCATACCTTCGAGCACGTGAGGCGACGCGCTTCTGAGTTGCAATTCATATTGAACGCGGCTGCACGCAATACGTGACCATAACATCAACTTTTTGGTATGTGGTCTTTCCGCCTTTTCTTGATTGATTGATTGATTGATTGATTGATTGATTGATTGATTGATTGATTGATTGATTGATTGATGTGTTGGGTTTAACGTCCCAAAACCACCGTATGATTATGAAAGACGCCGTAGTGGACGGCTCGGGGAAATTTCGACCACCTGGAGTTCTTTAACGTGCACCGAAATCTGATCACACGGGCCTAATCAGAAATGCAGCCGCCGCAGCCGGGATTCAATCCCGCAACTTGCGGGTCAACAGCAGAGTACCTTAGCCACTGGACTACCGCGGCGGGGCGTTCCACTTTTCCTGTGTCTTGATGCGGTCTCTTCGTGATCATCGAAAAACGTGTTTTCTGCAGTCGCTAATTAATGATCACCACCAGCTGCTTATTGTTTATTATCTTCTTAAAATGCGATAAGCATAGTTAAGGCTTGTACGTAATGAAGGCGAAAATGACGTATCAGTGGCCGGCATCTACAGAGCCAACGTATCACGGGTAGGCTTGGTTCCAGTTACATAATACCAAAAATGCTATTCGGTGACTATTAGGCCTAAATTAATATTACGCTTTAAAATAGAGCGTTGTGCACCGACATGATCATATGGTGCTTTGCAGCAAATCGTCTCGCATGAAATGTGTATTCAATTACACACACACACACACACACAATATATATATATATACTATATATATATATATATATATATATATATATATATATATATTGTTTGTGTGTGTGTGTGTGTGTAAAGAAAAAAGTGTATACTTAAGGGCTTGTTGTTTCGTGTTTTGACACAATATTAATGAGGTCTAACAGATAATAACACCAAGGAAAGCATAAGGGAAGATATTAGACCGAATTGTAATATAAATGTGAAGAAGGCGAAGTGGGTGATAAGATAACCTGCCGCAGGCAGGAACCGAACCTTCGAATGACGCGTTCGATACTCTACCACTGAGCTACCACGGCGGCTATTCCCCCAGCCACTTTATTGAGTTTTATATATGAATTTAAACGTGGGAGTGTCAGTCAGCGCCACAAGTAGCCATGGCGGTGAGTGTAGCACACTCTTTTCAGCCTGTGTGACGTCACGTAGCATGTGAACTTATAACGAGCTGGCAGCTGACGATTACTCTCTCGTATACAACCTAAAGGCACCAAGTATGATTCGGTTCCTGCCCACGGCAAGTTATCTTTTCACCCACATTAATTTATCCATATTTACATTACAATTTGGTCTAATATTTTCCGACATACATTCCTTGGCATATATATATATATATATATATATATATATATATCTATATATATATATATATATATATATATATATATATCTATATATATATATATATTAATATTACCAGCTCGCCAGCTGGTATTTTTTCATCCATTTTCTTTCCTCTATTTACATTCCATTGGTTCTAATAACTTCCCCTGTACATTCCTACGCATTACTGTCTGTTATATCTCCTTAATATTGTGTTAAACCACGGAAATACGAGCCCTTAGGTATACACTTCTCTCCCTTATATATATATATATATATATAGATATATATATATATTATATATATATATATATATATATATATATATTAATATATATATATATATATATATATATATATATCTATATATATATATACGGTTGGTGGTTGAGTGGCCGTAGCGTTTGCATGTAGTCAAGTAGATCCTCCGTGAGTGGTCACAACGTGTTTATTTCGACGTTTCGGTCTAGGAGTCTACAATCCTGATGAAGGCCAGACTTAAGGACGAAACGTCGAAATAAACCACGTTGTGACCACTCACGGAGGATTTATCTTGTTGACTATATATATATATATATATATATATATATATATATATATATATATATATATATATATATATATATATACATTGAGTGTGTGTGGGGGGGGGGGGTGTAAATGTCATCCTACGCATCACGGCCCACGGTGGTGGGCTTATCGTGAGCAACCGTGTTGTGAGCAATAAAACGTTACAGGAACGTGTGGAAATCGCTCTGCTCTCTTTTAGTGTGAATTTGCCGTTTTTATGCTGTTGTTTTCATTTTTAGCGCACCAAGAAGCTTGCATCGTGGCACCCGCAATGAGCCGACATGAACGTAGTCCAACGCCAGTGCCAGTGCACCGACAAAACGAAAGCTGTCGTGTATCAGACTTCTACAATGGTCGGGAAGTGTTCATTACAGGAGGGACAGGGTTCGTCGGAAAGGTAGGCTCTCGCTGTCTAAAGTTGCACAGGAATCAGTACGGATATGTTACACTTTACGGGAAAATTACACGCCACGGTGGTCTAGTGGCTATTATGTTCAACTGCTGACCCACAGGTCACGCGTTTGAATCGGTCACGCGTGACCTGCGTGTGACCCGCAGGTCACGCGCATTCCCGATGGGGGTAAAAATACTTGATGTTCGTGTGCTTAGATTTAGGTGCACGTTAAAGGCAGCGTGGTGAGGGGAAATTCCCGAACTTTTTACTACGGTGTCACTCATAAACGTATCGTTGTTTGGGTGAAGGGAAGGACCGCCAGGTGGCACCGTTTTGTTTGGCTGGCCGCATACAGTGCTCCGCTTTCACGTGTTCTTGGCCCGTTACCGGGCCCCGCCCGTGTCTGGACAAGCTCACTATTCCTTCTAGAAGACTTCCGGGACACGCCGACACCATCCGGACCCCGGTCCGACCCCAGGCTGGCCCCCCAGGCCCCTTCAAAAGTACGAAGCGGCGCGGCGCCGCGCTAACCCTAACGCGCCGCGCCTGCACCTCCACGATGCAGAGTCCCGCCCAGCACTCGACACCAACGACAACTGACGCCCTGTCGGTAAGCCCAGCCTCCTCCGGTCGTACCGCTGATACAGCCGTGCCTCCGCTGTCAACAACTGGCAATGTCACCAGCCCTGCGCCGACAACAATACAGCAACAGGCAGCGTTCCTCAACAGCGCGCACGGTCCAGCAACGTGCAACGCTGGTGGCGTCTCTGCTACTCTCAGCTTGATAGCCACGCAAACGCCGGAGCCCGAGAGCCGTAATGCAGCGTTGGCGTTGCAATCAACCACGCCTGCTGCTCTCCCCACCTTATCTGCGTCTGGTTTACCCATTGGAAATTCTGAGTCTGTCGACAAGCGCGTTTCGACGAGCGTCGTTCCTTCCATCGCCGAAGTTTTGCCTTCCATCACTTCAGCTGACGACTTATCGACGGAAATGAACTTCACGGCATCGCAGGTCAACGAAGACAATACGCCATCCCCCGAAGGCAGCTGGAACACCGTTAGTGCCAATCGAAAACCTGCCTCGACCGCCCACCCCCGCTCCGAGCTCATCACCGTCGGAATCCAACTTCCACCTGGAACACTCACGCCGAAACTGCTTCTCTATGACCTGCTTTCTACCATCATAGCCGCTGCAAATCTCTCTCCCAAGACCAGTGCGGAGGTCACCCTTCAAGCCAAACCTGCTCAGAACCTTGTGTTTCTGAAAACGCACTCACCTCTCACTGCCCACCTCCTACTCTCCCTCACAAGTCTGGAACTTATAGGTAAGTCGTTCACCATTAAGCCCTATGCCCCCAGTCCTCCAATATCATGTCTCGGCGTCATACACAACGTCGGTGGTCACTTCACAACATCTCAGCTCTTGCATGACCTCGAATCCTTTAGTTCAGATATACACGCTGCACGTATGATGGGCTCTACTGAATCCGTCCTCATAACATTTGCTGGAACCATCATCCCTCGCTTTGTGTACTTCAAACGCGTCTCTTCCCGATGCCGTCCAGATAAACCTAAGCCCCTTACTTGCACTCGGTGCCTTGCTATAGGGCACCGTGCTCATCAATGCCCCCAACACAGCGTTCCGGCCAAGTGCCACCGCTGTGCGCCTCCTCTACCAGCAGATCCCGATGCTCACGTTTGCGCCCAACCCTGGTGCATCCATTGCCAAGTCAACACCCAGTCATCTCTCGACTCCACCTGCCCCTACCTTCTAGCTAAGCAACGCGACTGCGCCAAAGCAGCTTTTCTCCGTCTCACAGTCATGCGCCGAGCCACTCAGCCTTCACCGCCCTCCTCTTCAGCGCATGAGTTCCTATCACCTCCCGCAACATCCCCCTCGGGCTCATACGCCGCTAAGGTTAAGGGAACACCTCCCATGTGCACTTCTTCATCAAACACACCTTCACCATCTTTAAGTAACGAGAGCCGCTCCTTCGATCTGCGACTGGCTATGTTGGAGCGCCACCAGCGCGAGCAACAACGCGTCTCGGATGAGCTACAAGAGAAAATACTCGCACTGACGCAGACACTTGCAACTACCACATCCTCTCTTACCTCTCAACTCACGGAGCTAAATAAGCAACTCATCACACTCACCGCCCCGACCTCCAACTCCCATGTAACCAAATTGGCCAACATGGTCGAAACCACCACCACTGCGCATCACACTCGTTTGGTCCAGCTGGAAAATTCAATTGTCCGGATTCTTACGACCCTCGAAACCCAATCTAAGCAACTGTAATCGTTCACCTATATGCTTAACTCCCTGCAAGAGTCGCTTCCCCCGGCAAAAAAAGAAGGAACGCGCACGCGTAGGCGCTTCCTCTACTTCAAAGACCTAGATGGTGCGTGAAAAGGACCTAGATATTTTGCAGTGGAACTGCCGCAACTTTCGTCATAATAGGACCCATTTCCACCAATATCTTCTCACCCGCCAAACATTATCCCATTTTCTCCTTATACAGGAGAATCGGGTGGCCCTCGCCGTCCCGGGCTACCGTGCATATCTCGCTACGATGGTAAAGCCACTTGCGTCCATTTATGTACGCAATGACGTTCTCGTTGAACCACTAGACGTACCCTCCCCCCTCCTGAAACATTTAGTTGGTGTGGTCTATTAGTTGGTGTGGTCTACCCGTATTTCTCTCGCCCTGATGTCCTTTTACAACCCCCCTGTCACGTCCTCTTTGTTTAGTGCTCTTGGCAAATTCCTGCACTCCCTTCCATCGACCACCCATATCCTCCTTGGGGGTGACTTTAATGCTCCTCATAGGCTCTGGGGTTACCCCCAAACACTCAAACCAGGTCGCCTTCTACACTGCCTCGCCCAGGCAACGCCATCTCACCCTTCTTAATACTCCTGACACCCCTACTCGAGCGGGCACTGTTTCACAGCGTTCCGCTACACCCGATCTCACGTTCTCTCGGAGTTCCCTTCCTTTTCACTGGCAGGTGTCCGCTGAAAATCTTTTCAGTGATCACTTTCTCATACACATCACCACCCCTCTTTCTCTTTCCCACAATAGGCGGAAACAACGAATCGCTCACACTGACTGGGAAGCATTCCGTAATAACCTTTTGTCTGACTTATTTAAAACTTACGACGACTGGACGTCGCGGATCTCCGCAGCAATGACATCCTGTAGTCGCCGCGCTCGTTTTCAACTCCCCATTCCTGGCCCTGATCCTCACTTCCTCCGCTTATGGTGACGTCATCAACGTTTGAAACGCGCTCTCCGCTCCCAGCCACACAACGTCCAACTTTCCTTCCGAATTGATGCTCTGCGGGCCGAAATTATCGCTTACGGCACTTCTCTCGAGCACTCTCGTTCGAACACGCTGTGTGACGGCCTTGACTCCGCACTGCACTCGCGCTCTACATGGTCTCTGTTTAGGTCTCTCTTAGGTACCAAGCCTGCCGTTGCTCCCACCCTAGCTAAAGCTCTCGCTCAAGGGACTCCATCTGATGTGTTTGAAAATTTAAAATCTCTGTATCTTCCACCCCCCCCCCCTCACACTTTCCTACCCAGATTACTGTGGCGAAGCTAACCCAGACCTGGACCGCTCATTCACGCTCAGGGAGCTGGAAGCTGCCTTAGCCACTCAATCTACACGCTCGGCACCCGGTGAGGATGAGATAACATATACTACATTACGTAATCTCCCCGACAACGCGAAGGAATTTCTCTTACACACATTCAACGAAGCATGGAACAGCAGCTGTCTTCCAAGCTCTTGGACATCATCCCTAATTTGCATGATTCCGAAGCCGGGCAAACCTCCATCTCTCTCTAACCTTAGCCCTATCTCTTTGACGTCATGCGTTTGCAAGACTCTTGAGCGAATGGCCTTGACTCGACTGTCTGATTTTATTGAGGCGAAAGAGTTTTTCCCTCCTTCTCTTATTGGCTTCCGACGCCACGTTCGTGCGCAGGACATGTTCCTTGTTCTGCAGCATACTTTTCTTTCACCTTCTCGTAGTCAGATCCATGCGCTTGTAACCGTCGATGTACGGAAGGCATTCGATGGCGTGAGTCATGACCACATACTCGCTCAGCTCTCCTCCCTGTCATGTGGCTCCCGCATGTATTCTTACATCCAATCATTTCTTTCAAATCGAGTTGCTCGCTTTAGAGTCGATACTCATTTGTCTAACCCACACTCCCTCACCCGCGGCACTCCTCAAGGTACCGTACTATCTCCTACTCTATTTAATATGGCTATGGCCCCCCTTGCCTCCCAACTGTCCCAAATACCTGACCTCCACCATATTTTTTATGCAGACGACATCACTCTCTGGTGTACGTCTGGATGTCCCGGCCACGTGCAGGATACTTTGCAACGTGGTCTGGACCTTATCGCTTCCTTTCTCGCTACTGCTGGCCTGTCCCCTGTACCGGAGAAATGTGAACTACTTTTGCTAAACCGGTCTGCGTACCAGCGCTCCCACAATACCCTCATCTCCCTACATCTTTCTAGCTCTCTCATCCCCACTGTTCAGCAATGCAAAGTTCTTGGCTTCCCTTTGCACGCGACAAAGAACGCGCAGGCCCTACATCACGCCGTGAGGACTTGCCACTCGGTGACCCACCTCCTGCGACGCGTTGTCACTTGGCAGTCGGGGCTCCACGAGGCTCATGCGTGCCGGGTTGCACATGTGCTTGCCCTTAACAAGTTCTTGTACTTTGTGCCATACGTTCATTTCACCGAAACGCAACTCAACACACTCGAAGAGCTCTATTAGGCCTCTACAAGGCAGCTCTAAACCTCCCTCTCACTACCTCTACCACTAAGCTCTTTGCCACAGGCTTCTTCCATCCATTACGTTCTCTTATTTCTCTGCAGCACGACTCTCAGATTGCCCGTCTTTCTCTCACTCGTCAAGGCCAATGGCTATTAGCCCAAGCTGGTATCCCTCACATTCCTGTTTCCGTTCCCACCTT